CGTCACCATATCAGTGGCTACTCCGGTGGAATCCGACCCGGCTTGAATCACAAATCTCTCAAATTTAATACTCTGAAATTCATCACAAATCAGATACTACAATTTGATCAATAATTACTTTTTTATTAATCACAATTGAATTAATCAACTAACCTTCATGGTGAGATTAGGTTTTTGGGGTTTAGCAGCGCCGTATAAGATCAAAGCGAAGAGGAAGAAGAGAATCAGAAAACAAATAACACAACCCAAAACATAGCAGCGACGAGGGATGGGTTTCTCCGAGTCGTCGTCTTCGAGAAGGCCTTCCTCTTCGATGGAATTGAACTGTTTTTCCCACGACTTGGCAAAACTCTTCATCGCGATGTCGTTAGGGGAGATCTTGCGGGCTCCATTGGGTTTGAGGGAGCCGGAAAAGCGAGTGGAGGATGATTCACGGGAGTGGCGGCCGACGGAGGAGTGGGAATGGGGAGGGGAACCGTTGGGGCTGAGCAAGGCGGGAGTGGAGTGGAAGGAGATGGTGGTGAGGTGCTTGTCGCCGTCGTGGGATGGGCTCTGCACGTAGTAGGCCGGACGACGGGGAGGAGAACGCGTGGGGGATGACGTGGTGACGCTTGTGGCATCGGAATCGGTCTTGGTGTGGTGCATGTTGTGGGAATTTGGTTTGGGAGTGGGAGAGGAGACGGTGGTAAAGTTATATATGAATAGAAAGTTTTGACTTTTGACAGCCACACTACAGTTGGCAGAATACCAGCAGCACCCTTCACCCCCTGGCTCATTTCGCTTTCCTTCGTATGCCGTGTAAACAACTTTCTCCTTCACACCATTTTAAGAGAAAAAAAAAAAATCAAATTATTAGAAATGATTAAAAAAAAATGGTTTATGAATTATATCAATTAATTTGAAATGGCTCAAATGTGGATCCGCATTTGATTAGGTAACTTAGTCTTTTTATTTAAAAAAATCTGGAATGTATTATTATTACGTCTTCGGACTCTCATAAAATGGATTAGGGATATAAAATGGATTAGAAGGAGATTAGTATAAACCATGCAAGTTGTTTATAAAATTAAAATAATTTTTTTTTAAAAAAAATTACATTTTAAAATTATATTCAATTAAGACTTAAAGTTTTTAACAATTAAATACAAAAAAACTTTCATTTGTTTAGAGTTTTTTCATAAATATAAATATGATTAATATTTATAGACATTCTTTTAAATATATTTGTTTAAATTTTATTTTATTGTCTACTTATGATATTTGTCTGATCTTATTATTATATTTCTTTATTACTATGATCTTATTATATTTTTCTGTTTGACATATGATAGTTATCTTATAATATTTTCTTTAAACTAAAAGAATAACATAAAATTACAAAAGGTTAATCTTTAGAAAAAAAAATTATCAAACAAATGATATAAGTGTTTTTAACATCGCAATTATGATTATCATAGATAAAAATGATCATTGTCATATTTGGGTAAGATCAGGGGTATGATCGTAGGATTGGATCGTAAGATCATATAATTGATATCCATCATTCTCGTAATATCAAAATGTACAAGGTGGATGATATTCATCGCTTTTAGCCTACTTGCCACATTATTGTCATGTAAGCTTTTCTCTAACCTTTTTCTTCTGTATTTTTTATCTCATAATACATGAGAACTAATCTTTTACATCCCTTCCAACTCACTTAAATTTTTTTATTTAAAAATAATCACAAATTAAATAAAATATACTATATATATATATATATATATATATATATATATATATATATATATATGTGTGTGTGTGTGTGTGTGTAAAGAAGAGAAGAGGATAGTAAGAGAGAGTCTAGAGAGAGACATGGGGAAGAAGCTTGGATTTAACAACCCGCCAAAGGACAGCTCGATGTTATTTCTCTCACCAAAAATTTGTTGTCTCAACGTTACCACCACATATCTATCAAAAGTTGTCGTCGATACCCTCCACCCTAAGTACTTTTATGAAAATTTCACTAAATCTAATGTCCACGAACTACACAATAGCATATTATGTAACACCTATTTCAGGTATGAACTAATCCATTATATTGTAAGTCTTTTTTCTGGGTGGCCACGGCGTGGTGGAGCCTCACAATGGCGTGACAGTGTTTTCAAAGATCACAGGATTTAAAAGTCCCATCATGACGTGACCATATGTGCCACAACGTTGTAGCTGATTTTAATGAAACCATAATTATTGGACTTTGTGCCTTATTTAGAAAAATGAGGAGGTTAGGGTTTATTCACCCCCATCCTCCATCACTCTCAAACCCTCAGAAACCCTAACCCCTTATCTTATTGATGCTCTCGGAGCTCATTTGCTAGGTTTTGGTGATTTATAAGGAAGTAGAGGAAGATCTTATGCAAGAGACCAACAAGCAACATTCCCAACCTCTTAAAGCATCTTTGTTGGACTATTTGTAAGGATCTTGATCCAGTCTTTTATGTTTTCCTTGCAGATCTAGAGTTATTTTGCTCAATAAACTCTTATATTGGATTTTGAATGGAACAAAGAGATAAAGTTTACAACTTTATGACTCTTAGGAGTCCCAAGGACCTTATATCTCATAGATCTGAAATTTTTTTGTGATTTGGAAATCTTACATGAGATCTGGGTCCCTTTTCCCTATTTTGACCTAGATTTGGGGAATGACATGCATGTCCATAAAGTTTACATTTTTAAAGATCAATATGACCCCTAAAAGCTTTCAAGAAATTTAGGACTTGTATCTCATGTGATTAAGGATTGAGTGGATGAGTTAAACATCTTAAATGGCCTTTAGAACCTAGGTTTTGAGATCTTGTCTTATTGGTGTGTCTTAATGAATAAAGTTAGAAACTTTATCCATCAAGACGTTAGGAAGGAGTAGATATGGGCTTTTGAGCTTTTGATAATGAGTTAAGAGCAACTTAACTCGAATAAGCTATTCAAACTGGTCCCTATGTGGTAGCAAGCAAGGCTAGTCGACTGTCTTATCGTTTTATGCCCATGGCGTGCCCAAGGAAGGTTTTGACGTGGACGAGTCTTAATGATGTGGAATATGTCTTTGACCTTTTGACTTGTGACCTGATTTGAATATTGGCCAAATCTTAGTTTTTGAGAAGTCGATTGATAATGTACCTTGTATGATTACCTAGGTGGGGTATAACACCTATATTTCCGCACACACATATACACACACACACAGAAGGAAAGAGAAAAAGAAAGAAAAAAAGTAGCAGTTGAGTATCGACGGAGAGGTGAGTCTCTTCACTGTACTTGTGGGTCAACATCACCAATGTTGGCCCACTAGATTATGTTTGTAGAATGATAGTTGACTTTGTGACATATGCTGATATGCACACATATGTGTTTGTTGTCTTTATGACTCATGTTGATGATATTGTATGTTTATCTGTATGGGTGAAATAGGCCCAATACGGGTTGAAAGATATTGAATGAATTGACATAAATTCATGGTGTGAAATAGATCCAGTATAGGTTGAAAAGATACCGAAGGAGTTGAAATAGACTCAGGGGTGAAATACACCAAATTTAATTTATGGATGATATGTATATATTATTTGGGTTATTTTGGGGAAACTTACTAAACTTTGTGCTTATAGTTTTATGTTTATATTTTCAGGTACTTCCGGTTCGAAATGGTAGGGACTGACATGATCGCACCGCATCCACCGGTATTTCTGCATTTTATGATATAATTTTTACTTTGATGACTATTCTATACATTATCATATTTTGATGGAATTTGGAATGAATGAATGTTGGATTTGATAGTTTAAAAATAAAAATTTCAACATAATATTTGAGACGTTACATATTAAGTACTTTAAAAGCAAGAAAATTGTTATAAATTGTAATAGGAAACATAATTTTCGTAAGCTCAAGGGTTGTGGATGCAGTGAGAACTAAGGTCAAAGTGGTATGACTGTAGTGAACACATGCAAATCATGTGCACATATAAACAAAAAAACATCCGTTTTTTCAACGAATCATCTATACGAATTAAATGTATAGGTTTGGTGTCTTTTTATTTTCAATTCTATTGGAGGATGGAGTGGTCGATAAGGTTGTATAGTTTAGAAGAAAATGAAAAAATTGAAATTGAAGTTTTGACATAGAATGCTAAATCGTTTTCTACTTAACCTAGAGTTATTATTTATTTATTTATTTTAAATAGATATTGTTTTTGTTTTAGTTCATTTTCTAGTTTATCTAAGAAATTCAAAAAACTTGTATATAAGTACTTTATTTTCGAGTCACATTTGAGTTAAAGTTTTCAACCCTAACACTAACCTTATCCGTTTAGTTTTCGTATGGAGTTGACTAAGTCATTTTCACATTATAAAATTACTTAACCCAAAGTTTATTTATTTATCTATTTATTTACATATGGTTTTGGTTTTTGTTCTTTTTCTTGTTTATCTACATATTTCAAATATATATATATATATATATATATATATATATATATATATATATATATATATATATATATATATAAACAAATCATTTTCAAGTTAGATTCAAATTAAAATTCTTAACCCTAATCTTAACCGTTTAATTTCCGTATAGTATTGTGTCAACCGTTTATTTAAAATGTTTGAAATATATCATACAAACTTGTTTATTTTGTATCAAGTTAGTGTGTCGCGTCCGTTTTCGTCTCCTCGTCAGCTACACGAATGAGATCACCCATTAATTGGTTTACCATCTAATGGTGGATTTTTACATGATGATATTATGATAACATGATCTTGATAGAACTAGCGTTAAACATGGTTATGGAAAGACACATCTATTTTATACCCTTTTATTTGGTGCACAGTTGAAAACATTAAAAGTAAAGGGACCATTTTCCTGCAAAAATATCAATTCATTACAGAAAGGAAAACATTTTCAACACGACCCTCCACTTTATGCCATTTAACATTTTGCCACCAAAGTTACTCACATATAAACGGCGAAGCTAACGACAGGGTATTAGTACTTAGGGGACCAAGAGGCAAATACGATTAGAGAATCTTTCTCCTTTCATCCTGCACAAACCCCTTTCTCTCTCTTCGCGTATCGCTCTCACCATCGTCGCCGGGCATGGCTATGCCTGAGCACCACCAATTCAACAACTTCCTTCAACAACAGCATCAACAGCAACAGCAATCGAAGTCTTTCAGGTATTATCGAAAACCCCCTTGTTCATCGATTCAAAACCCTAGAACGAATCATTCTTATATAATCTTCAATTTTTTGTTTTATTTGGATGTTTAGAGATATATTCAACAACATGGAAGGTCAGATTTCACCGCAGATTAACTATATAAACGCCGATCAAGCTCATCACCCTCCTTATATCCCTCAGTGTAAACCCCCTTTTTCTTTGTGTATTCCTCAACAAACAACTTTTTTGTTAATTGAAGTTAAAATTCTCCAATAACCTGAAATAAAAACTGTTGATTTTCAATCTGGTGCAGTTCATGTGGTAGGGTTTGCACCAGGTACGGATGTTAGCGATGGCGGATTCGACTTGCAGCGGAATTATGATATGGAATCGAGAAAGAAGAGGCCTAATGAGCAAGAGTTCTTCGAAAATAACAATACAAATTCTCAGATATCATCTATTGATTTCTTGCAACCTCGATCCGTTTCAACAGGATTAGGTCTGTCTCTCGACAATGGTAGGTTAGCTTCATCTGGCGAATCCTCTTTTGTTGCTGGGCTTATGGGAGATGAAATCGAAATGGAATTGCGTAGACAAGATGCTGAGATTGATAGGTTTATGAAAATCCAGGTATATATTATGGTTAAGACGCCATTTATGTGCTCAATTCTCTCAAACAACTTCTGATTATCTGATACGCATCTTCATTTCCCCCTTTTTTTGCTTTCCAAAAGGCCGATAGACTCAGGCAAGCAGTTCTTGAGAAGGTACACGCCAACCACCTTCAAATAATCTCACATGTGGAAGACAAATTCATCAAAAAACTCCATGAAAAAGAATCCGAAATCGAAACCATCAACAGAAAAAACATGGAACTAGAATCACAAGTCGAACACCTCGCCATGGAAGCTGCCACCTGGCAACAACGAGCTAAATACAGTGAGAACATGGTCAACACCCTGAAAGTCAACCTTCAACAAGTTTACACACATGGGAGGGATAGTAAAGAAGGGTGTGGTGATAGTGAGGTTGATGACACAGCTTCTTGTTGCAATGGTAGAGCTATTGATTTTCACCTTCTTTGCAAGGGTAATAATGGAATGAGGGAAATGATGACGTGTAAGGTATGTGGGGTGAATGAAGTGTGCATGCTTTTGTTACCATGTAAGCATCTTTGTCTGTGTAAGGAATGTGAAAGTAAGGTTAGTTTGTGTCCATTGTGTCAGTGTTCCAAGTATATAGGTATGGAGGTTTATATGTAAGGGATTAATGTGATGAATTGTATTAGATTTATGTGGACTTCTTGTTGTTTATTAACTTGTTTTGATTTCATAATTGTTGTATGGTTTACTTCTTTTTTAATCGATGTGTTTATTTTGACACAAAGCATATAGCACAATTTAGTTCATATAATCGATGTGTTAACTAACACAAAGTTATAATGTATACAACACAAATAAGACATTGTGAACAAATATAAATACTAGTTCATTTTGGTAAAACTTTTCGTGTGATCTACTAGGATATGATCTTGCAAAACAAAAAAAGCTATTATAAGTAAGTCTTAACAAACTTGGTTTTCCTATTAAGATATCTTTTTTCTATGTTTGTATTCACTTATTTTCTTCCATTTCTTTATATATGTCATCATCTTTTACAATAATTTTCAAACATTAGTTATTCAGATAATAGTACTTAAAAAAATGTCTCATTTAATAAGTCATTTAGTGCAAACAAATTGGCTTCTTCAATCAATTTATGAAACAATATAAACTTAAACGTTTAAAAGGTGTATTGATTAACAATCAATAAAATAAAATAACACTAACTTCTTTACAAAATAAATTAGTTAAAGATCAAAAGAGTATATTTGCTTATAGGTAAGGTTGCTTATTTACAATAAATTTTAAAGGTTATTTATTCAAATAATAGTACTTTGAAAAAAATGTGTCATCTAATAAGTCATTAAGTGCGAAACACATTGACTTCTTCAATCATTTCATCAAGATTTTTGATTAAACAATATAAACTTAAACATTTAAAAGGTGTATTAATTAATAATCAATAAAATAAAATAATACTAAATTTTTTACAAAATAAATTAGTTAAAGATCAAAGAGTATATTTGCATATAGGTAAGGCTGATCGTTGTATTTTGATGATTTTTATACAAATGTCTTTTGTATTTATCAAACCAAACATTGATGACGTAATTCAAGAAAGTTAAAATATTTTTACCAAATAATTTTAGTAAGACACATTTTAAAATTATTATATATGTACAAGAAAAAAGATTGATCTAAGTAGGACAAATGACTTGGTATGCTATTGCATTATCTTATTCCATAATAAAATCTGCTATAATTATAAATATATATAAAAAGGTTATATTTAGGAATATGAAGAAATAATAATATGTATGAGATTATAATCATTTTCTCTATACTCGTTGAGGCTTGGAAAATTCTTCTACTTTGAAGAGTAGAAAATTTAAAATCATTATTACATCATGACAAATTTCCTCAAGAATTTGATACATTTTAAGTACATAACAAGATAAATTCTCTATAAGTTTAACACACAATTTAACTTATAGACTATTTATTACATTAATCTAGTGCAACTCAACAATAGATCAGATCCTATTTTATCCAAAAGATGGTTATTTCCACATGTACCAAAAAATGGCTTCAAATCTCTGACTCATTAACACTATCCCATTTCAATAGGTCCTGAAAAAACACGTGACATAGTCACAATATAAGGTTACACTTATATCGAGTTCACACGTTATGTTATAAAAAATAATAATTACATAACACAACACCATGTTTAACATAAATTAAAACCATATATAAAAAATGCAATAAAATTTTAATAGCTACTTTTGCATAAAATCACATTCTCGTGGGTATCCAGTTTGGCGCTTCACAATGAATTCAACTTTTTATAAATGTCAATCCATAAAGTCTAACAACTTTGTCAAAGTCTCAACAACTATAAGCAAGTCTACATCCAAATTCTAACATATTTATCTAAATATGTTATAAGAGTTATTCAAGTCTTTAATCTATTACGTTTGTTATGTAAACATTAACATTTATTTATCGAAATATGAACCATAAACTTGAAATTGACTCAAAGTATGCACCATTTCTATTATAATGTAAAACTTATTTTTGAAAATAAATGTTTATTTTGAACAACTCTTGTCCACTTGATTGATGATGTAAGATGGAAACTTCATGGCAACTATGATAAATATCATAGTCATTGAAAGAAATACCTAAGGCGTGGTTTCCTTTTTCTTTTTATATAGACTAAATAAACCATCTTAATGAGACCAAATGACCATTTTACCCTTACATTCCAAAATGAATAAATTTCACAATAATTATCTATTTTATGAATACTCAATAATTTTAGTTATGAGGAAAAAATAAGAAAGGCAAATAGGAAAAGTGTTAGTGTCTTAAAATCTTAATAGTAAAAAACAAAATAGCCCATAAATCATGTCCCCATTAAGGAAAAGAAACACTCGATCTAACTTAAACATAATCAGCAAAATGATTATACCAATATTCTTGTAATTTGTAAGGAAAGTGAACGTTATAAACTATAAAATAAAACAATAGGTACAAATACAATTTGAATTTTGAAATATACCACCTTCAATCATGACGCCTTCGCCTTTGAAAATGCTGGTTGATAAAACTGTCTGCTTGTAAAGGATATTTTTTCTTTATAAACGCCTTCACACATTTCCAATATGAAAAGTCAACCATTTCTCCATTCTTACGCACAATGAATAGACATCTTGAGCTTTCAAAATCTGGATGGTGTCCAACCTGTTAGGGATTTTCATTTTATGACATCACAAGAAAAACGTTTGAGTTAATTCCTATGAGTTTTGGATTATAAAAATGTATCACTAAATACAGAAAGAAATTAGAACAAAGTAACCATATGTAAGAATCTTGAATGTGTTGTGAAGAAGGGAGAAAATTCTAATTCTAACCATGATGTAATCAATTCCACATCCAATTTTCTTCTCACTCTCGGGATGATGTGCTAACAACCTCTGTAGAATGATGTTCTCATGCTCGGAGCTTAATCTCTCACCAATTTCATATCTGCAATACCAAAAAAAAATGAGAACTTTAAGCAATCAATAGTAAGATACCATTCAATTATTCAAGAAAACGAATGAATTGTATTCAATTAGAGAAGAATCGATATTTAACAGAAACCCTACTTGCCCGAATGAAGAATCATCCTAACAAATCCAACCAAGGGTACAGTATCCTCCAAAATTCGATCCTCCCAATCCACCCAGCTTTCTTCCACTCTTTCCATTGCCTCATCATCTTCGAATTCAGATTCCCCTTTCGAAAACTCTCTGTCATAGTCCTTCACCTCCACGGCCGGTTTTCTCAATAAATCAGCGGCGGAGTAAGCAGCACCACCCTGCTGGGGGCTGATATCACCTCTGCTAGTTTTCAAGGCAGAGAATGTCGTGTGACGATAATGGAAAGAAAGGATTGAAGGATTCGTTGACGACAAGTGGAACGGAAGAGAGACATGGGTTCTGTTATTGAGGTAAATGTGAGAAGATGACCATGAAATTGATTCCATTAGAACAAGTATTAGGGAATCGGGATGTTATAAACCCTAATATCGTTCCAAGTTTTGAGATTTTAGCTCGAAAAAGGGCATGCTAGTAGTAAAAGAGAGCGACTGGCAAGAAGATAACAGTCGACAGACCAAATTTGCAGACTCCTACTGATAGAGCTGGCAAAATGATTCAACCGGCTGATCTAAAGGACCCGAAACCCATTCCAATATTAATGGGCTGGATTTAATTTTAGTCTTGTTATTTAGGGGTGTTTGGAGTTCTTTTTATCGTTATAAGTTAAAAAATATAATGATAAAAATAATTTATTGAGTGGAAACAGTTGTTAATAATAAGTCATTCATTTTAACTTGTTAGTTTAGAAGCTAGTAAATAATAATTTTTTTTTCAAACACCCTTTTAAAGTATTCGAGTTATTTAATAAAATAATTATATATCTATAAAATATACAAATTAATTATTAGTTTTTTTTTTTACTACAAAACAACTATGAAGTTCATTAAACAAAGCAAATGAACTTATGAGGTTATTTTTTATTACATAAAAGTCGCTTTATTACAAAGAAGTTCGTTAATTTTGCCAAAAATTAGTGAAAGTATTCTCAAATGTGCATCTTTAGTTGTTGAAAAAGAAAAATACAAACAAAATAATTAAATGGTAAGAGTAAAGAGAAGAAGAACAATGATGTAATCGTGTCACGGTTGATTTTGTGTAGGTTCTCCGGTGCGGTGTTCTCTAAGACTGAAAGGAGTGATAGCATGTGATAAAATATTGACACGTTATATTTTTATAGACAGGTAAGCATAATATGATGATATGGAATGGTGATGTGGTTAAAAGGTAAGTATTTTTTTTTAAAACCAAATAAATTTTTATTTGACTATTTAAATAAAATAAATTATAAAAAAGGTACAAGTTGTTAAAGATAAAATCGCACACATTTAAAGCATAATTGATCTAATGGGACCACTTGTTTTCTCTTTCCTCTTGTCAAGAGAATAGCGAGACACTTATAGCATATATACTTAGCGAGGAAACAAGGAATGATAACGAGTTTTGAGAGGGAGGTAGCGAGCCACTCCCTTCAGCCTAACACTTGTTACCTAGGACTCCACACACAACATAGAAGGTATAACACCAAGCCTATGAATGACCTAAAGAGACCGAGCATTGCGAAAGTTGATTATGCTATTTTTTGTATAAATTTCATAGCTCTCTTGATTCTACTTTGGAGGAAATCATCATTCTCTTGAAGAATGGTAATAAGATGAAGAACATGAACGTGCATAGTCTCAATGACAATGTACCTTAAACAGGGGCGAAACACAACCCTTGAACCGGAGGGGGGGGGGGGGGGAGGGGGCCAAAAAAAGATTATATTAACAAAATTGTAGATTATGCTGTCTTTTGATTTTCAAATTAGGTTGATATTTAAAAGAAGAATGCTTTACATAATATTTATGAATGAATTTAAATTTTCTAACTAAATTATAATTTGAAAAAAAAAACTAGCGGCGTAGTTTGTTGCCCGGTTGTCTTCTGGCAATATGTATTTACCTCTATTATGTTATATATTTCAACAGAAAATTTAAAGAATTCAAATATATTATACCTTTGATTTACAAAACA